ACTCTTAAAGGGCTGCCCCATGTAGAGCGCATTGCAGAAGTCCAGTCTTGAGGCCACGAGGGGGTGAATGACTGTTGCGAGTGCCTCCCGGTTCAGGTAGGGACGCAACTGGTGCACCAGGCGAACCTGGGCAAATGCCCCCCTGGTCATTTGGCTTTTTAAAAAAATAACTGAATTTCAGATGGTTTTCTTAACACTGCTATACTTCTGAAGTCTGCACTCAAAAGCACATGATACAGTTGATGGTCCAGTAACCCATACTGAGGAGATTATTAAGCATATGAAATTTTATCTTTTGACTATAGAAATGTCGTGTCTGGTTTATTGTCTTTCTTACTATCATCATTTCAATAAAGCTTACCCATGCTTCTGTTAAACTGATTGAAAGTAATTTGGATATGAAGTTAAATCCTTCGTTATTTCAGGCAGAACAGCAAGGTGAACAGGCCAGACAGTGGAATATGTGCTGTCATTTGTGGGATGGTAAGGGAATGGCTTAGAAAGATGTTGCATTATGGAAAAGGAAAACATGTTCCAGAATTGATTAAGCATAAATAACTGAAACTGCCACAATGAAATAGGCATTATAAGGCATTGAGAGAGTGAAAAATAAAATAACATTATTAATGACATGTCAATCTATGTAGAAAATCCGACATGTATGTGATGTGAGAGTTGAGGTTAATTGAACTCAGCCTGCCGTGTTCTTTGAGATTTTTGATCGCATTGTTGCTACAAAGACTTGATTTGATTATGGAAACATTTCATATCAAAATTCAAAATATATTTCCAATTGCACAACAAGGACGGAAGGAAGGGAGGGAGCTATAACATCTGTAGGTTTTTAAATCTCACACTGATCAAAACTATCACTACTCTTGAATCACATGCAACATTAAGAAATGTCAGATCTTTCAGTTGCCTTTTAAAAGTTTGAAAACAAAAAAAAAGCAGTTGCCTCTTTCTGGATTTAATTAGAGTCAGCTTTGTACACCAAAAGAGTATAATGTGATGGCTCGGTGATTAAGATGCTAAGCTTGTAGATTGGAAAGCTGTCAGCCCAAGTTTGAGACCTGAGCATCACGCAACAGGGTGAACGCCTGTTTTTGCCTAGCTCTTGCCCACCTTGCAGTGTGAAAGCATGTAAATATGAGTAAATAGGTACCTTTTCAGTGGGGAGAAAACCCAGAGCTCCGCAACTTCATGCTAGCCACATGATCACGGAAATGTCTTCAAGACAGTGCTGGCTCAATGGCCTTGAAATGGAGATGAACGCCGCCTTCTAAGGTCAGCAACAACTAGCAGAGTAAAACCCAAAGGTATTCCTGTCTTTTGTAGATGAAAGAGAACTGAACGGTGCTATGACCAATACTATTATTGTAGGTCCCAACTTAGGTGTTGCATCCATTCCGTATGTAGTTTTAATTTTTTTTCAGGCCACAGGAAGACTTAGATAGTTTGTCTTTTTTTTTTCCTTTTTGGCCTTATCTGAGATCATGTTTTAATAAATTCTTTTATTTATCTTTTTTTGGAAGGATTATGATTCTATTGTCAAATTGGTAGAGGCATTAGAAAAACTTCCAACCTTTGACTTGGCTTTGCATCATCATGTGAAATTTCATTATGCATTTGCACTGAATAGGTAAGAACTTTCCTTTCTCTTGAAACTACAGTGTTTGATGGCAGTTTGTCCACAATCAAAATATTCTTCCATTTTTTCTATAACAAAAACCCCCAAATACTACTGGCATTTTTTCATCTGGTGTCTCTTGCTTCTACGATAGGTAGATTTGCCTTTCCATCTTGACTTTGGCTTTCTATCACCATTAAATTTATTTTCTGCAGTTGGAACATACTGTGTTTCATCGAAAATAAGACAGGGACTAATTTTCTTTTGACAATCCCTCCCCTGAAATAATCACTTGCCTTATTTTCGGGGAGATCTTATTATTTTTGAAGAGCAGGAGGAGGTGAGTGTGGTCACCTCATGGCTGCTGCTCTGTTGCAATAATTTTGGGGAGGGCTTATTTTCAGGGGAGGGCTTATTTTAGCACATGCACTCAAAAGCCCAATTGGGCTTATTAAAGAGCCGAGGTGGCGCAGTGATTTAATGCAGCACTGCAGGCTACTTCAGCTGACTGCAGTTCTGCAGTTCGGCTGTTCAAATCTCACCGGCTCAGGGTTGACTCAGCCTTCCATCC